GTAATGAAGACCAGGATATAATGAAAAAGGATATAATGCGAAGTGCTTTCCTAGTTCTAATTCTATCAAAGGTTTTTGAAGTTTTGGTGGTGGATAAGTAAATAAAAATATAATAGATTGTGAAAATATAAAATAAATCCCACATAAGACTCCAAGGCTTCTGTTCCCTCTGACTACTGTGACTATATAAAAATACACTGAGTTGTATAGTCTTTGGGTCTGCTTAGTTTCAATGAGTGATATTGTCTGTTTGCATCATTTTTCATAATAAAATTAAAAAAATCTATTAAAAGAAGAAAACTAAATGTATGAAAATAAAATGTATTTAGATAAAAAGTAAAAAGGACCACTGACCTGTGGCATGTTTGCTGTAGAATTAGCCATTTCTTATTGATTCTCTTCTTTGAGTTTCTCTTTCAGGAACAATGAATAGATAGATGGCTTGCTTCCCTTTTAAATCAAGGGGTCAAAAAGGAAGAGTCAAAAATTAATACTGAAAGTCATTAGAATACAATGTCCAACCACATGAAAAGACCAAAGCAACAGATTCCTACCAGATGTCTGATCAATGATCCCCAAAACAGAGTAGCATAAAACATTTGAATCTTGAAAAGAAAATCACCATCAAGCATCTTGTTGCACAAAGAAAGCTACTCCTTAAAACTGATGGAGACATAAATGCATTTCAGGATAGTCACGAATTAACACAAACGACGTCACTAAAGCAGCACTGCCAACAATAAATTAGAGGTAACACAAACACAGGACAGTGAGAGGAATAATCCCTGAGAACATGGGATATAATAAATTTCATGTGAACTGGGATGTAATCAACCATGAACAAAATAGCAAAAACCTAACTGTCAAAGAAAAGGAGGAATACTATGAACAATACAACCAGCAACCACATAAAAACAAAACCATAGAAAATAAAAATTCCATGAACAAAAAAAACTAGCCACACTGGAAACTAAAATAGAGACTCACCAATTAAATAAATAAACCCTCATGTTAAATAAATTCAGCACATGTCCAAGCTGTTCCATTCCTTAGCATATGCTCAAAGGACTTAACATTCTACTAAACAGATCCTATGCTACTTACTCAACCATACTCATTGCTGCTTCATTCACAATAGTTACAAAATGGAAACAACCTTAATGTCCTTGAACTGAAAAATGGACAGTAAAAGTGTGGCATGCATGGTTCCTAGAAGCAGCTGGTGCTGGGATATCACCAAAGCCCCAGGTGGCAGCAGAGGCCACTTTAATACCTTTTAATTTTTTTTTCTCTTTTTCTTTGTTTTTCTTCCCCAAACAGGGATTCTCTCTGTCACCCTAGCTGTCCTTAAACTCACTGTGTAGACCAAGCTAGCAAGGAAATCCAAGTTCCACCAGTTTCTGCCTCCCCAGTGGTGGGATTAATGGCATGTCTATTTTTAACTGTGAAAATACTGTGGTCTGACACTATAAAACAGCATACTGTTCTTCTTCAGGCTCTAAGTTGCAACATTACAAACTCAGCACATGCACAATAAAACACATTTCGTTTTTCTTTGTCTATTTTTTTCTTGTAGTTGTTTTATTTTATTTTCTTATTTTATTTTATTTTTTGTTTTTTGAGACACGATCTCACCATGGAGTTCTGGCTGTCCTGGAACTCACTGTGTAGATCTTGCTGGCCTCCAACTCACTGCAATCCACCTACCTCTACCTTTTGAGTGTTGGGATTAAAGTTGTGTGCCATCGAGTCAGCAAGGACTTTTCTGAATACTGTATTTACAGTACAAAAGGCATGTCTCACGATGAAAACTTAATAATAAAGTTTACTTTTAAAGATTGTTTACAACCGTACTTGCGGAACTCGCAAAAAAAAAAAATTCAGATTCAACGAAATTTTCAGGCGTCCCTTTCAGATTAATAACTAAAAGGTCACCGGAAATCAAGTCCCCAGGTTCATATGCCAATCTCTTGCAGAGGGGAGAGGTATGACAAGTAAGTTAGTATGCATGATTGTAAATTTCAATAGCTTTGTCGTTTCCACAATTGCTAACAGAACCGCGTTAGCACACATCAACAGATACATTCAAATATTCTACGCAAGTGTTCTTATAAGAATATTTTGGCATCAGAAGAAAATGGGAATAAAACAGGATTATTCCAGTTCTTATGTTCTCATGTCTGGTCCCTTCCCTTCTATGTCTAAACCCCGCAGCTCCTCTGACCTGGGAGGTCCAGGGCCGCCACTGCGCTGCTGACTTTCCCAGGCCGCCCTGCGCGGCGACACTGGCTCCAGGGAGATTTTGCGTCCCCGCGACACCTGGCCGTGTCCTCCGTACCCAGGTCTGCACCACACGATTCCCCACGGTACAGGCCCCGGTGCAACCACAGACAAGGGGCCTTGACACTTGTGGCTTCGCCTCCGCAAGTCCACTTTCCAGGGCTCCCACAAATTTAGTCCCAGCTTCCGTTTACGTCACTCCTCTAAACCCGCCCACTCTCCGTCCTTCTTCTAACACGCAGCCAATCAGCTAAATCCACCCAATCTCTGTTTCCGGGTAAGTGTCCCCGCTCCATCGGGGGCCCGTCCCTCCCCTTGTGTCTCTGGCCGCCTTCCACACAGCACCAGCTGTCAGGCTGCCCTGGACCCGCCCTGCACAGCCTCCCCTCATGCTTGCTGCCAGCCTAGAGCAGAACTGATCTAGGAGGACGCGGTATCTGACCCCCACAGTGAGTTCTGAACCCTGAAAGGCAGCCTAACCTCGACTTGACTACCAGCCTCCCTGGCTACAACGGTAACATAATAGGCTAAATTCAGATGCCAGTGTCCCATCACTAACACAAACATGAAGAGCCCAAACCAAATACTGCAATTGTGCCTTGGGGTGAGACATTTAAGGAGCTTGAATTCTAAAATCAAATAAGTGGAAGTCACTTGTAAGGTCCCTGCTAACAGCCTAGGGCTGAATCCATCCTGTGTGTACTGCTTTAGCTACAGGATAGTGGTTTTGTCGTTTTACTAAATAAGGGACACATTCGTCTTCTGTGACTTATGCTGAAGGTGCTTGTAGATAAAACAAAAAAGAAAATTTTTAATGCAGTGGTGAATGTATAGACTATTGACTGTCCCAGATGTAGAAAACGAGAGAGGTATGTGATACCAGCCCTAAAAACGTCAGTTACTCTATCTCGTCGATGGCTCTAGGAACACCGAAGAAGAGAAGCAAAGAGAATAAGAAGGAAAATAGGAGGAAGAGCTAAGACACAGCACTCTCTAGACTCCATACAGCTGCTGTGATCAGTAACCAACAGCAACTGTACTTATCTGCGTTGACCGTGCACCCTAGACCACAATCAGTCTAGGAAAGGGAAAGGCTCACAGGGCCCCACCCTTCACCTGTCAAACATTGGCAATGGTGGCATTGGAGGAAAAGAATCACTGCCTTTGGTTGTAGTCCTCTACTGAGCCCACCAGACTCCAACACATAGCTTCAAACCACATTCTTCCAGTTGTCTCTGGTTAATCTGAGGGAATCCCAAGCAAAATGAATGGAGATGGATACAGCAAAGATTCGTTATAATTGTGGACCAGGATAGTAGAGAGGTAGGAAATGAAAATGGGCAGTATATGAAACACACACACACACACACACACACACACACATGGTTGTGCATGTGTGACAGAGATGAGAGAGAGAGAGTGAGACCATAAAAGAAATTTTTTTTAATTTCACTTTGGTTGTATAATTATCTGTTTTAATATCAGGTACTACTAAGGGTCCAGAAGACTTCCTTTTTGTTTCAATTATTTTATGTAGTTTGCTGTTCTTCTTTGAAGTTCTGAGAGATTCCTGTCAATATGTTATGTGGATCTGGGAACTCATATATTTCAATTAGAGTTTCCAATTCAGTGAATTGGAGGCCTTTAATATCAGTAGAAATAATATCTACTTGTTTATTCATGTCTATCAAGTAGGCTGTAATGACATGATATTGCAATGTTATGCAAGCCTTTACTCCCAGCACTCAGAGGGCAGGGGCAAGGAAAGCTGAAGTCATGGACAGCCTGGTGTTCATAATGAGTCTATGACTGGTAATAAACAGAGAGTCCTTGTTTCGAAATAAATATAACTTCTCCCTTAAGAGTAACCTGCATGGTACCAGAAGCACCATTCAGTCCTCCAAAAGCTAATGAACAGTCTTATCCAGCTAGGATGCCTATGAACCACATCAATATTCATCATGGTACAATAACCCTGAGTGCCATAGCTGCAAGCGTACCTTGATAGTAATCGATAGCTCTCTAGTTGGACTTAAGAAATTCTTAACAAAAGAGAAACTCTGACTGATAACTACTAACTAGTCAGTGCTAACTACTTGTGGCTAACTACTCAGTGCTGGTAAAGCCATAAATCTTGGAGGAGAAACACTTTACTAAACCAACATAATTCCTTAAAAATGAAAGCATTTTCCTTATACCGAGAGATAAGCATAGTCTTCAACCATCATCTCTTTGTAACAGAGACCACTACAAAGAAACCACAAGTAATCAAAAGGCAGAGTTGTGAATTGTAGCATTAATTCTAATTGCTATTAATAATAAAAACTTGGAGCCAGCTATCAGAAGGTGAAACCTGATGGGTCAGAGAAACACAGCAGTGAGAGAGTTTTTACCTCTACTGATAAAAGGGGAGGTCCTGTTCTGATTCCTCAGACTACACTGAGCTCCTGTCTCTACCCACCTTATATTCCTCTTTCTGCCCAGCCATATCACTCCTGTCTCCACCTCCTTAGTGCTAGAATTAATGGCATATGATCCCAAGTGCTGGTATTACCTTTGTGTGAGCTTTGCTTCTCTTTTAGACTGGACCAATTTCATGTATCCTAGGTGGCCTTGAACTACAGCAATCCATCTTCCTCTGTCCCATTGTGCTGAGATTAAAGGTGTGTGTCACCACTATCTGGATCTATATGGCAAGCTAGTGTCACTAGCGCTGTGCACTGATTCTCAGGTAAGTTTTGTTAGATCATAAACGATATATCATCACCACGGATGCCAGGCCCAATGGATATATATGTAAAACACTCCTGAATATAAGGCTAAGGGAAAGTTTTTAAAGAAGGGGGTATAAAGGTTGTAAAAGCCAGAGCACAGGAAGTTTGCTGTGAGATTGTGAATCCTTGTGTATTATTCAGAGTTCTCCAGAGTAACAGAACTGATAGAATGAATCTCTCTCTCTCTCTCTCTTTCTCTCTCTCTGTGTATACACACACACACAGAGGAATAAAACATTTTGCTCATTGTGTGTGTGTATATACATGTCATCATATGTAATGTGTTATACATATATGAGGTATATATTATGCACATCACATGTTGTATATATGATGTGTAATACATATATGATAATACATGTGGGCCCATATTTCTGTATAGCACAAAAGCCATAGGCCCAGTCTGAGCTTATCACGTAGCTCTGCAGACAAGATGTCTCTGCCTAACAATAGCAAGGATGTACTTGTTAGTAATGTAGATCTCCTGAGGAGAGGTGGTGACTGAAACTGGTCAGGATGTTTGGTGCTTCCTTCCTTTGTAATTTGAAGGATGTCTTATAGAGATGCTAATTCAGGGCCTACCTGACTGCCATATGCGAACGTGACCAGAGCCCATGCACCTGGTTACCTAGGAGATAGCCTAATGTGTTCCCGCTCTATTCATGTGAGGACATATAAGCTGTTTGAAGAACAAATGAGAGATCTTTTTAGAGAGAGATCTTGCCCGTGAAAGATTACCGTGTAAGTTGTGTCTGATTATTCCTTGTGACTCCGTTCCAGCCGAGTTAGGGAATCACGGGCTCTGACAAATACACATATATTATACACATATAAAGGGGATTCATATGAATGACCTGCTGTCTAGCTAATCCAACAATGATCTCCATGAGCAGAAAGTCCAAGAATCTTGTAGTACGTTCACAAGGCTTCATGTCACCACTGGTCTTCAGTATATGTCAGTTTCTGTGATTTCTCAAAACTTTGAAGTTTTCTATTCCCAAGCTTCCAGAGCTCCTGTGCAAGACTGACTTCATCACCTCACCTGATAGCAGTGTCTCTCAATTCCATCATGGTTCCTTTTGGGTCTTATATGAGATACCCTGCATATGAGATATTTACATTACAGTTTGTAACAGTAGCAAAATTACAGCTATGAAATAACAAAATAATTTTATGAACGGGGGTCATCACAACATGAGGTACTGAATTAAAGGGCTGCAACATCGGGAAGCATGAGAACCATTAGAGCATTCCATTCCTTTACCTCTCTTTTCATGCCCTGTGGGTTTTTTTTTTGTTTGTTTGTTTGTTTGTTGGTTGGTTGGTTGATTTTCTTTTGTTTCGTTTTGCTGTTTTTTTGAGACAGGGATTTTCTGTGTGGATCTGACTATCCTGGAACTTGCTTTGTAGATCAGGCTGACCTCAAACTCACAGAGATTTACCTGCCTCTTTCTCACGAGTTGTGGGATTAAAGACATGTACCACGACTGCCCAGCCATGCCCTGTGTTTTAAGGAGATTCCTCCAAAATGGAAGGATTTAATTGAAGAGGAAGTTGATACACAATAACCACTCATGGGCATAAACTCCAAGGACTTGCCATCTTATCAATGAGTACTTGCCCATCATGTTCAATGATGTGTTATTGGCCGTATCTACAAAATGGAATCAACCTATATGTCCACAAACTAAAACATGGGTAAATGAAACCATGATTCTTATCTCCATAAACTGGCATATTATTAAGGTGTAAATAAAAATGAAAGTGTGAAATATAGATGTACATATAGGTAACAGGAAATGATGACGAGTTCAGATACCTAGGCAACAAAAGTCAAACATCACATGTTCTCTCACATATGTATCCAAGCTACAAACTTTGTTTTGTGTGTTTTAGTAAGACTACATGTAGAAGCTAGGATTCTAGAAAGGGACCATTAGTGGAGAGCTGCAGGAAGAGGGGTTAGAGAGTAGAATATAGGTGATAAGAGATTCAAAAGTGGGTGTCCTGGTAGCAGAATGTAGTAGAGTATTAGGGAAGAGAGAGGAATCCTGAAAGGTCAACCAAACGATATGACCACACAGAAGCTACATAGGAGCCTATAATTTTGAACCCCCGTGGCATGACTCTTGTATGAAGATTTTGAAGATGAATAAAACCTAAGAATTTATCACAGAGTTTTCTTTAATGATGAATTTGCTTTTATCTCAGAAATTTCAGCACTGTAAAGGATTTGTCAATTCAATACATTTGGAGATGTGTAAATTCCAATGGACAGAAAGACATGGGGAATATATATTCTATACCTTTATATGGTTTCTCAGAAGTATGTATTTTGAAGTGTATAAAACAATTAGAGTGAAAATTGAAGATGTTGCCATATTTTTATATTACTTTCTTACAGTTTTTCTGTTTCCCATCCTTCCTCTCCCCTCCCCTTCTATTCTCTCCTATTGTCCCCAAGCTCCCAATTTACTCATAAGATTTTGGCATTTTCTGCTTTCTATGTACATTAGATCCATATATGCCTCTCTTAGGGTCCTCTTTGTTGTCTAGGTTGTCTGGGATTGTGAATTTCTTTTCTCTCTCTCTCTCTCTCTTTTTTTTTTGCTTCACGTCTAAAAGTCACTTATGAGTGAGTACATATGATATTTGTCTTGCTTGGTTTGGGTCACCTCAATATGATGTTTTCTAGATCTATCCATTTGCCTGCAAATTTCAAGATGTCTTTTTTTTTTTTTTTTGCTGTGTAGTACTCCATTGTGTAAAGGTACCACATTTTGCTAGTTGAGGGGCATTTAGGTTGTTTCCAGGTTCTGGCTGTGACAAATGTGACTAACAATGCTGCTATAAACATAGTTGAGCACATATCTTTGTGGTATGATTGAGCATATTGCTGGGTCTTGAGGTGGGTTGTTTCCTAATTTTCTGAGAAATTGCCATACTGAAATCCAAAGGGGATTGGGTATATGGAGGAGTGCTCCCTTTACCCCACATCTTCAGCATATGCTGTCATCAGTGTTTTTTATCTTGGCCATTCTTACAGGTGTAGAATGGAATCTCAGAGTTGTTTTGATTTGCATTTCTCTGATGGCTAAGGATGTTGAACATTTCCTTAAGTGTCTTTCAACCATTTTAGATTCCTCTGTTGAGAGTTCTATGTTCAAGTCTGTACCGCATTTTTAAAAATTGGATTATTTGTTCTTTTGATGACTAGTTTCTTGAGTGTTTGTATATTTTGGAGATCAGTCCTCTGTCCAATGTGGGGTTTATAAAGATCTTTTCCCATTCTGTAGGCTACTGTTTTGTTTTGTTGACCATGTCCTTTGCTTTACCAAAGCGTCTTTGTTTCAGGAGGTTCCATTTATTGATCGTTTCTCTCAGTGTCTGTGCTACTGTGGTTATATTTAGGAAGTGGTCTCCTGTGCTAACACATTCAAGTATACTTTCCACTTTCTATTCTATGATGTTCAGTGTGATTGGTTTTATGTTGTGGTCTTTAATCCATTTGGACTTGAGTTTTGTGCATAGGGATAGATATGGATCCATTTTCGTTCTTGTACATGTTGATATCCAGTTATGTCAGCACCATTTGTTGAAGATGCTTTCTTTTTTTCCATTTTATATTTTCTGCTTCTTTCAAAAAAAATCAGGTGTTCATAGGTGTGTTGATTGATATCCGGGTCTTCAATTCAGTTCCATTGGTCCTCCTGTCTGTTTTTATGCCAATACCAGGCTGTTTTCAGTATTGTAGCTCTGTAGTAGAGTTTGAAGTCGGGGACTGTGATGCCTCCAGAAGTTCCTTCATTGTACAAGATTGTTTTAGCTATCCTGCATTTTTTGTTTTTCCATATGAAGTTGAGTGCTGCTCTTTTGAGGTCTGTGAAGAATTTTGCTGGGATTTTGATGGGCATCGCTATTTTTGTTTTTGACAAAGAGTTTATGTACTCCTGGCTGTCCTGGAACTTAGTATGTAGATGATGATGTCCTCCTACTCACAGAGATCTTTTTGCCTCTGCATCCTGAGCGATGGGAATAAAGGAGTATACCTATACCAGCATGCCTGGCATTATTATAAATTTTTGGATACGGAATATAAATGTATATAAACACACACACATATTTTTTAACCAGGGCTCAAAACATGGCTTAGTGTGTAAGAGCAGTGGTCAGTCTTTCAGAGGACAAGTGTTCAATTCCCAACACATGCACAACAGTTCACAATGATTTGTAACTCCAGCTTCAGGGGCTCTAATGACTCCTCTGTCTTCACCAGGCATATGTTTAGTGCAGATATACTTTCAGGCAAAGCATTCATACACATTAAAAGAAAAAGAGAAGCTTTTCCCACTGCTACATTTGAAGAATTTTATTTTAACATAAACTCAAGGATATTTTTTAATACTTAAGCCTTCATTAAAAACATTCACAGGGTAAAAGTAAGCGACCTCAGAGGGAGCAGGTCTGAGCCAAAGGATGCTCAATCATACCACAAGGACATGTGCTCAGTTATGTTCATAGCAGCATTATTTGTAATAGCCAGAAACTGGGAACAACTGAAATGCCCCCTTGACCAAAGAATGGATAAAGGAAATGTGGTACCTTTACAAAATGGAGTACTATACGCAGAAAAAAATGACATCTTGAAATTTGCAAGCAAATGGATGGATCTAGAAAACCCCATATTGGATGAGGTAACCAAGATCCAGAAAGACAAATATAATATGTATTCACTCATAAGTAGCTTTTAGACATACATCAAAAAAAAGCAGCCTTATATCATATCACAACCATAGAGAAACTATACAATAAAGAGAACCCTAAAAGAGACATATATGGATCTAATGTACATGTGAAGTAGAAAAAGAAAAGATCTCCTTAGTAAATTGGGAGCATGGGGATCACAGGAGATGGTAGAATGAGAGGGAGAAGTAGGGAAGGGAGTGGAGAAAAATATAAAGCTCAATAAAAACAATAAAAATATTTATTTTATATTATAAAAAAAAGAATCAGTAAAAGTCAAAAAAATGCCATTCAAGGGGAGAAGAAGGGAAATAAGAGAATAATTCTTGGTGCATATAATCACAATACAGACAGACAGACAGATACTGGCAGGCAGTCAGGCAGATAGATAAAACTGTCAAAAAATCATCTTCTTGAAAAAGTATGTCATACAGTTCAGGCTGGCTGAGAACTTACTACATAGCTAAGGCTGTCCTTGAACTCCTGATCCTCCTGCTTCTACCTTCCAAAGGCGACGATTATGTACCTGTATATACCACCATGCCAGGTTAAAGAATTATTTTATTATGAAAAAATGATTGATGCTAACTTTATACTAACACTGTCTACATTTAAATGGAATGGGATCATGTGGTACATATTCTATGAAGATGAAAGATATTATTATGAAAAAGGTACATTATAGAAAATAAACTTCCAAATTTCCGTAGTATAAGACTAAAAATAAGAAAAAAGACTTTCACAATTTTCTTATCTTCATGTTTCTAATTTTTATTCTGTTGTGATTTTTAAGTAAAAATACCAGAAAATGTTAGGTCACATTATTTACAATGGTGTGTTTTTCTCCAGTATGAATTTCCAGTATGAATTTTCTAATGTCTCCTAAGATTTAAATTCTGTTTAAAGAATATGTCAGTCTTTGGATTTGTGTGGTTTTTCTCCATTATGGATTTTCTGATGTCTCCTTAAACCAGAAGAGTGAGAAAAAGATTTATCACATTCCTTACATCTGTAAGGTCTCTCTCCAGTGTGAACTCTGTGATGTGTTCTAAGATGTGAGTCCTGGGTAAAGGATTTCTCACATTCCAGACATTTGTATGGTTTCTCCCCAGTGTGAACACTCTGATGTCTTCTAAGATTTGAGTAACTGGTAAAAGACTTGTCACATTCCTTACAAGTGTAAGGTCTTTCTCCAGTATGAACTCTCTGATGTCTTCTAAGACTTGCAATATGGATATAGGATATGCCACAGTCTTTGCATTGGTGAAGTTTCTCTCCAGTATGAATTTTCTGATGTGCTCTAAGATATGAGCAGCTAGTATAAGACTTATCACATTCCTTACATCTGTAAAGTTTCTCTCCAGTGTGAACACTCTGATGTCTTCTAAGATCTGAATGTTTGGTAAAGGACTTGTCACATTCCATGCATTTGTAAGGTTTCTCCCCAGTATGAATTTTCTGATGTGTTCTAAGAGTTGAGTTCAAAGTAAAGGACTTGTCGCATACCTCACATTTGTAAGGCCTTTCACCAGCATGGATTCTGTAATGCCTTTTAAGGTGTGATAATTCGAAAAAGGACTTACCACAGTCTTTGCATTTGTGAAACTTCTCTAGAGAATGCGTTTTCCTATGCCTACTCAGTGATGAATAGTGGGGAAAGGATCTGTCGCAGTCATTGCATTTGTAAAGCTTCTCTCCAGTGTGGAGTCTGTAATGGCTTTTAAAATGTGAAAACTGATGAAAGACTTTGCCACATTCTTGACAACTATAGTGTCTCCCAGCAGTATGCATTTTCTGATGTCTCCTGAAATTGGAATAGTGGGCAAAGGATTTGTCACATTCCTTGCACTTGTAAGGTTTCTCTCCAGTATGCCTTTTCTGATGGCTATTAAATGCTGATAATTGAGGAAATGACTTTCCACATTCTTTGCATTTGTAAGGTTTCTCCCCAGTATGTAGTCTTTGATGTGTTTTAAGACTTGACCACTGGGTGAAGGACTTTTCACAAACATTGCACTTGTAGGGTTTAATTCCAGTATGAATTCTCTCATGTACTGTGAGGCATGAGGCAGTGCTGAAGCATTTCCTGCATTTTGCACATTGGTGGGGTGTCTCTCCGATGTAGATTGGCTGTTGCAAAAGACTGTAGGCAGAGCTGAAATGATCATCATATTCTTCCTGCCTGTTGTCTTTCTTTGCAGTGTAGAGTCTCTGATCTTGAGTAATGCTGGAACAAGTATTTAAAGATTTCTCACAGTCTCTAGATTTGCTGGGTTCTTCTCCAGTGGCCATGCTTTCATGTCTATCTAGGTTTGATGAGTCAATAGAGGCATCTCTGTGATTACTGCATCTGCAGTTATTAGAGTTTTGTGTAGTTTCACTTGAATTTTTAAGTGCACATGTGGAGGGGTCATGAAGGACTTTGCTAAGCTCATTAGACTGACATGACTTCTTTTCTGTATTCGTATGTTGACGAGCAGGATCACATTTGCAATAGTTCTCTGAAAATGAGCACAAGTCATATTAATAGGGTTTGTTCCAAGATTAGACATTTGATAAATGATTGTTCCCCTAAATTCTTTCTTAAAGTATGTCAACCTGAAACTATTTAGACTAGAATTCCCAGTACTCAACATTTTTCATCCACTGTAATTGTATGGATTCTCAGAAAAATAGCATGAAAGCCTTCAAAGTCAGTGATATATAACAGATATCTCATCTCTATTAGAAATAACTAACTGGGAAAAAGATGGAAAAAAAATAATTGAGGTTCGTTAATTAGTTTTGGGGTAGAGCTCACTGAGTGATTATATTTAGAATACATGTTTCTAGCTTTAAATATTTCTTTTCAGAAATTGATAAAGAGGAGTTTTAATCCAAGGTTCATGGTGTTTATACTTACTAAGTGATAGGCAATAAAGAGTATTGTTGAGAACACCCAATTCCTTCAAGTTTATAGTCTTAATCAAAAGCAGCACAGGATTTATTTTTCTCTCTAGAAAAACACCTTAGATTCTTCAAAAGCAGTGGATGCAAAGACAATACTCTGGCAGACATCAGAGCCTCTAGTTGTTTGAGGCAGGGTTGTCATGGACAACTACTGCTTATATCTACACCGCACAGTCTGAGCTCCACAAACTGCTGTTTCTTTTGCTTTTGTAACCGACTCCTGTGATTATTTTCCAAAATTATGTCTGTGTATTCTTGACTAACAAGAAAATTAAGCATGTAATATGAAGATATGAATACAAGGAAGGCAATTAAAGAATAATCCTATTTCCTGGGTTCAACATTAGACTTAGGATTTTGTATTATTTCAATCTGATTTCAACATAGTCAAATAAAATCACATTTCATACTCGTATTTAATCACCATAACTCAGGTATAATGAGATTCAACATATTCTAACAGTAATGAAAGCAAGATGCATCCTGGGGCCAAGACTGTATAATAAGTTAAATGGTCAAGAACTTTTTTAGGAATTGAATATCACAAAACATTCTCAGCTCTTGCTTTTTTATTTCTCTTGAAATCTTCACTGCTCTCCTACTCAATTACTAGCCCGCCCTAGTTGTAGCTACTCTCTGTCATCTCCACATTCTGGGGAAATCTTATTCTCTCTGGGCAGGTGACTAGGCCTACCTTGCATACAATATCCACATGTTCTTTGAGGTACTCCCTGACATATGCTAGAACTTTTAAAAAATAATACAGAAGTCTAACACAATACATGCTCAGTACATGAAAATACAAAGCAGAAGAATTTAAGCAAGATTTCTCAATTGATATTTCTTGTCAAAATATTCAGGATTTTTAATATTTCCAAATATTTCTAGTTTATATATCAGGAATTTTTTCTAACAACTAAACCATGTCAACTGCAATAATGGACATGGAACGTTAAGATATAAGTGGATGGGATGGAGCGATGACTCAGAGGTTAAGAGCACTAACTGTTCTTCCAGAGGTCCTGAGTTCAATTCTCAGCAACCACATGGTGCTCACAATCATCTATAATCAGATCTCATGCATTCTTCTGGCATTCAGATGGGACATTATATAAGTAATAAATAAATACATAAATAAATAAATATTTTTTTAAAAAGAAAACTTGAGTGGAAATACTATGTGCTCCTGCACTTATAGATGAATCTTGGAACCAAAATGAATAGTATATGACACCTTTGAAATGGAAAATGGAAAAAGAAACTTAAATAGCATGAAGTTCTTTCCCACTACTAAACTTTGCCTTTTCTCCTGGTGTTTCAAGGACAGCTTAACAGATTTTATATCCTATGAAGAAAGAACAAACAAAAAATGGGTTACGAATTCTACAAGCAAAATGTTCTTACCCACAGAGACCAGGTTGTTATAATTTTCCAACATTACATCAATATACAAAGCTCTCTGGGCAGAGTCCAGGTACTCCCACTCCTCCTGGGGGAAGTCCACAGCTACATCCCCGAATGTCAACAGACCCTGAAACAAAAAAGTATGATTTGACCATGTGCTACCTGGAAGTGAAGATAATTACTCAAAAATGATGATTTCCAATACAGTCACATTCTATCATGAATGTTCTAACACTGTGAAAACAGGATGATAAAATAGTCTTATAAGCAGTATACAGGAAACAAGACACATATTTAAGGCATGGACATGGTTGTCTATCTGTTATGGCTGTTGAGCTTGTGTATTTAAGGCGTGGACATGGTTGTCTATCTGTTATGGCTGTTGAGCTTGTGTTGCACATGATCACAGCAGACATGCCTCAGAGGTAAAATTCATGAGGAGGTAATGTGCCTTAAGTGCTGTACTTGTAGATCACGGTAAAATACCGACAACCATCAATCCTGTGTATACTTGGGCCTCACATGACTCTATTCTAACAGGCTCAGTTGGGTGGGACAAATGTCTATATTCTGTCAGTTATATTTAATGCTGATTGGCCAGTAGCCAGACAGGAAGTACCGGTGGGACAACTAGACAGGAAGTAGATATGGGTCAACAAGAACAGGAAAATTCTGGGAAGAAGGAAGCCCATTTCTCTGCAGTCCTGACCAGCCACAGAAGAAGCAAGATGTGACTGCCTTGCTGAAAAAGGTACTGAGTCATGCGGCTAACATAGATAAGAATAATGGGCTAATATAAGTTATAAGAGTTAATAAGCAGCCTGGTCTACAGAGCTAGTTCCAGGACAGGCTCCAAAGCCACAGAGAAACCCTGTCTCGAAAAACNAAAAAAAAAAAAAAAAAAAAAAAAAAAAAAAAAAAAAGAGTTAATAAGAAGCCTGAGATACTAGGCCAGTCAGTTTATAACTAATGTAGACCTCTGTGTGATTTCTTTGGGACTTAACGATTGCAGGAACTGGGCAGGTCAGAAAACTTCAGACAACAAAACTCTAGGTATAATGCCACACCATTAAATAGTAAAAGTGTAGGTATGGAAGGCAGAATATTTGACTGATTTATACACAGAGAGGTTTTTTTTTTCCCACAGTAAGAAGGATTGGAACAGCATTACATCTGTCAATTTTAACAGTAACTTATAAGTGTCCTATGGAACTAATTTTATGAGAATATTTGAGCCAGTATGAACAGATAGAAAAATCTATATCATCAATATTTGATATAATCCAAAATTTCCCTAAAATATGCATAATACAGCAGAGACAATTTCAGTTTTAGAAGCATATTTCACTTCACTCCCAAAGAGTAATAAAAATTGAGAGAAGTCCAAAAACACATCAAAATATGTTTATGGTATAGTTAAGAGAATATACACCAGTGACACTTTTGATAATGCCCATAGCAAGAATCTATCAAAAATTAAATTAATTAAATAATGAGGAAATAAAACTGCCAATCAACAAATGGGCAAATGAAGTAAATAGATACTTTTCAAGTGGAGAAAACTCAAATGGCCAATTGTGGTAATGTTCTGTTTGTGCTCTTTTTACCATATAAACAGGGTTAAAATTTAAAAACTTATTTGAAAAAGTTCTCTGAATTAATTCTTAAAGGAACACTGAGACTTCATCAATTAGCAGGAATAGACCCAGCAGAAATTGTAGTACCTTTTACAAATGATGAAATTGACAAACAAATTATGGGCAGAAAATGAACCTTGAGAATTTGCTGTAATTTTGGGGAGAGATTAACAACAAATATCCCAAAAGCAAAAGAATAAAATTTATACAAAGGACTAACAGGATCCTTCCTCCCATTGTACAGGGAACCCCAATATTTGGAGCCCCTACATTCTATACTTATGCAAATAAATTAGGAAAGGCATGCTATAAATCAGAAAATTTAAGTAAATTGGCTCAAAACCCTTGTGACTCTGTCCAAAAGTCAGAATTATATAATATTCTCATAATATTAATGGATTTTAAGGAATCTCTTAACATAGTTGTATTTCACATTGGAAACTGCTGAATTATGGCACATGATACAGAATTGACTTTATTCAGTTACAAGAAATAATCAGGAATAGGAATCATTCCATATACACAGCACACAAACAATCGCATATGGGTCTGCCAGGCCCTCTAGCACAATGAAGTGAAGAATTATAATTCTATCAAAGGTTTTGGGGGAATTTGGTGGTGGATAAGTAAATAAAAACTATATTGGATTGTGAAAATATAAAATCCCACATGAGGCTTCAGAGCTTCTGTTCCCTCTGATGACTGTAACTATATAAAAGAACACTGAGTTATATAGTCTTTGGGTCTGTTTAATTTAAGTGTATGATTTTTGTTATTTGTCTCTTTACAGAATTGTTCATAATAAAACTTAAAAAAATTATCAGGACCAGAAAATTAAAAGCTTTCAATGTACCAAAGTATAAGAATATTAGATAAAGAATAGAAAGGACCACTAACCTGTGACATGTTTACTGGAGAATCAGCCATTCTTATTGTTCCTCTTCCTTGAGTTTCTCTTTCAGAAACAATGAATAGAGGGCTTGTTTCCCTTTCAAGTCAAGGAGTCAAAAAGGAAGAGATAAAATTAATACTAAAAGCTGTTAAAGAACAATGTCAAAACATATGAAAATGTGAAAGCAACAGAATTCTACCAGATGTCAGGTCAGTGATCCGAAAGACAGGAGAGCATGAAAAGACATTTGAAGTTTGAAGCTTGAAAAAAAAATCACCACCAAGCATCTTCCTGCACAAAGAAAACCACTCTCTTAAAGTTGATGGAGACATAAGTGCATTTTAAGACACTCACTAATCAACACAATTAATTTTATTAAAGGGGCACTGTAGATAATAAATTAGAGGCAAAACACACACACACACACAGGAGATTCAGCAGAATTATCCATGAAAAAAAGGGAAATAAAAATTTCATGTTAAGAATAAATAGATATAGAAGAACTGGAAAAAATCAATGAGCAAGACAGCACACCACTACTTTTCAAAAAGAAGGAAGAAAAATACTACCTGCCAGTAATCCAACTTGCAATAGCATAAAAACAAAGCCGTAGTAAATAAAAATGCCATGAACAACAATAACAACAACAACAACAAAAACAAGCCACACTTAAAAATCAAAACAGAGAATCCTCATTTAAATAAACAAACCCTCAAGATAAATAAATTCAGCACATGACCCAGTTTCATTCCTTGGTGTATGCTCAAAGGACTCGATATCCTACTCCACAAATATGTGCTCAGCCATGTTCATTGCTGCTCTACTCACAATAACTACAAAATGTAAACAACATAAGTGTCCTTCCACTGGCAAATGGATAGTGAAAGTATGGTAATATACACTATGGAATATGATTCAGCTGTGAAGAAATTTAAAATGATGACCTTTGCAGGTAACAGACCCAGAAACACAGACAATGCATGTTCTCTCTCATAGGATATTCCTAGCTCCAAATTTTCAGATGTGAGTACACAACCTGGAGTGAATGCAGAAACCTGAAAGTAAAAGGAGAACCTTGTAGGGGAATAGTACAGACAGGGTAACAGGGAACAAATAATATAAAGGGGGAAATGGGGAAAGAGGGTGAAAATTTAATTATGGAGTAGGGACTGGAAACAGTAAGCATGTCTAAAACATCATAAGGAAACCATCTATTCCTTGACTATTATCCATCCAGCAAAAAAAAAAAAAAACCCTAAAATACATATACATAGAGTATAAATGAAAATTTCCCAGCAGCGCTCATGATTCTCCTCACAAGAGGCATAGATTGAGAAACTACAATCAGTACTTTACTAAATCAGGCTAAGTCCTTACTGCATTCTAAATATTTATCCTAATTGCTAACAGACAATAGGAGACAGCATGGATAGGCGTTTAGCAGGCTGTAAATGTACTTCCTGATTCTTCTCAAAATTTTGTTGGCATTATTTTCAGGAATGGATACAAAAACACTGAAATGTAGAGAATGTGCTATAATGCCAAACCTCAAAAATTCTTAAAAAAATAAATAAACCTAGTGGTTTAATTTTCATCATTTTTATAAGGTATTAAAATCAAAGAAACGCAAATGATTTAATGTTATAAAAACACGATCAGAGATGAGTGAATAAAGCAGCACCATTCACAAACATAGTCAAATAAAAATTTATTTGACTCCATTATCAATTCTTCTGTGGAAAGTCTTCTCATGCCAACATTATGACAACTGAAGAGATTTTCTCAGTGGAAGTATCCAGAATTATTTCTAGTAAAACAGGAAGTGGAAAGACTGATTTCCTGTCCCACTTCTACATTCACTTGATTTCCTTTCCTCTCCTTCACCAATCCCTCCACTGTACCTGCATCCTTAGCTGCTGTCTCCTCTCCTTCCAGGTCCTTTGTTCGGCTGCACAGGTGAGCAGGTCTGGGTGATCAGTGAGCCCTGCACATGAGAAAGAGATTGTTCAGGAAGTATTTGTATTTATCACACAGTACTGTGCCCAGTAGATGAAGAGAAAACTAAATACAGAATTACACAAGTCATTCCCCAATTGTTCTGCAGTGTCAGAATACTGAAAATATTTGGAAAGCACATTTAGTTAGAATCTCTTGAATCCACTTCTAATCACAACTCAGGAAAAACGTAAGAAATGGAACTGAGTGATTGGGAAGAAAACATTATGCACTAGTGAGGTCCTGAATTGATCATGAACCAATAATGATGAAACCTTACACCTGTCAAAAGGACATACAGGAAGAAGAGGGAACATGTAAGCAGAGGTTGCTTGTTCATTTCCTGGCTACCCAGACCCAAATAACCACACAGAAACTTTATTAATTACAGCACTGCTTGGGCTTCTTATTAACTAACTCTTACATCTTAAATTAACCCATTTCTATTAACTTGTGTATCATCATGAGGCTGTGGCTTACCAGTAAGGTTCTGGCTCCGGCATCTGTCTTTTGGCAGCTACATGGCATCTTTCTGACTCTGCCTACTTTTTCTCTTTATATTTCTGTTTGGATTTTCTGCCTGGCTTTATTCTGCCTTGCCATAGGCTGAAGCAGCATCTTTATTAACCAATGGTAATAAAAATTAGTCACAGCATACAGAGGATAATCCCACACGAAGCACATTTCATGAAATTTTTCTTTTATCCTCTGAGGATTTCATGTTATTCTGTGGGATGTGAGACTCATTCTCACAAAGCTCACACACTTACAGATTAATTTGTCAAGAAATCCTGAAGAGGAGCAAGGAAGGCTGCAAACAAACTATTCTCAGCTACAGAAACCAGACTGCTGCAATTCTGCAACATCCCGTCCATCCTAGTACACTCCTCCTGGGAGAAGTCCACAGTCACACCACTGGCTGTCAACAGACCACAAAAGAAAAAACAACAGTCTGAATTGCCCTGTTAGTGCAAATATTTAATCCTAGCATTTGGGAAAAACAGGTGGGTGGAACTCTGTTTGCCAGTTCAGTCTGGTCTACATGATAAGTTTAGGCTAGACAGAGCAACACTGTGAGTTCAGGTCTCAACACATCAAACACAAGAACCAAAAAAAAAAAAAAAAAACCAGTTTGGCCATTTGTCCATGAACAGAGTGCTTTACTCGGAACCAAAGAGACAAGACTCTTGAGCAGACATTTTTCTGATATAGATGCGTTATCAGAATTATTCAAAGGATGCTTTCTAATATTATTCTATAATATAATGTATTTATATTTCTTTTTCCCTTTTCTGTTTTCCCCGGACACAGGTTTTTCCTATGTAGTGCTGGCTGCCCTTGAAGTCGCTATGTACCCCTTCCCAGCCTCCAACTGACTGTGATCCACCTGCCTCTGCCTACTTAGTGTTGGGATTAAAAGCCTGTGCCACAAGGCCAGGCAGACACTTTTGAGAATACTGTATTTACATCCCAGTGTGCATATGTCTCAGATGGAAAATTAATGGTAGACAAAAGCTTACTTTTACAAATTAATGTTTACAAGGATACTGTGGAACTTGCAAAAGAAATATATATACTTTCAGACTCAATGAAATTTGCAGGCGTTCCTTTAATGACTGTTATGTAAAACTCTCAGGGACTCCAAGTCTTCAGGTAAGAGTGCCAGTAGTTTCTTGATTAGGGAAGTGATATAACACGGGTTTGTATGCATGATGGTAAACGTCAACAGCTTTGTGGTTTCCACCATATCAAAGAGAATCGTGCTTGCAAATCTCAACAGATAAATTCAAATATTCCATTAGATTATTTTTACAAGAATATTTTGCTGGGGGCTGGAGAGATGGCTCAGTGGTTAAGAGCATTGCCTGCTCTTCCAAAGGTCCTGAGTTCAATTCCTGGCAACCACATGGTGGCTCACAACCATCTGTAATGGGGCCTGGTGCCCTCTTCTGGCCTGCAGACTGTTGTATACATAATAAATAAATAAATATTAAAAAAAAGAATATTTTGCAATCAGAAGACCAATTGAAAAATTGCAGGTTTATTCTATATGATCTAAGATACACCAAGGGAAGAAGACATTCACAGCAGAACCTGAGAGCCGGCTTTTTTTATCAACAGCAGAGAAAATGATTGCATCCCTGGTCCTATCCCTCCTGGGTCCCAGCCCCGCAGCTCCTCTGACCTGGGAGGTTCCAGGGCCTCAGGGCTGCGGTTCCCGCCACTGCGACGCCGACTTTCCCAGGCCGCCTCGCGGCGACTATGGCTCTGGGGAGTTTTCGTGTTTCCACGTCACCGCGCCGTATCCTCCGCACCCAGGTCTGAACCATACGATTTCCCTCGCTGCAGGTCACGGAGGAACGATAGGGAATGGGCTTTCGACACTGCTGTCACTGCTTTCCAACTTCGCCGGGCTCATAGTACGTCCCAGCTTCCGTTTACGTCACTGCTCCAGACCCTCCCAACCTCCAGAATTCCCCTGCGTCCAACCAATGGGAAACATCCTCGCAACTGCCCTTTTTCGTGTGGGTGTCCCGCCCAGTCTTGACTGGTCAGTCCTCGTACACCTCAGGCTGTTTTCCACACAGCTCCAGCTGTCAGGCTGCCCAGGTCCCTCCCTCCACAGCCTCCCCACATGCTTGCTGCCAGCCACGGCCAGAACTGGATCTAGGAGGACGCTGCAATCCGGTGTCTGACCCCACAGTGAGTTCTGAACCCTTCAGATAAAAGATGATCACCTCTCCCTGATTACCAGCTGCCTGGGCTACATACATACTTACACCAAACGATGACACGCTAAATTCTGACACTCAAACACAAACATGAGAAGCCAAAACCATATACTACAATTGTTCCTTGGGGAACAATCAGGAATTTGGATTTTGAAGAGAAATAGGTGTCTCCAGAAGTCCGTGCTAAGAAGCCCAGTGCTGAGTTCATCCCGCGCTATAGGGCTCTCACCTCTAGATGGTGGTCTTATCGTTTTAATAGCTCATGAACAAGCCTTGTTAAAGGTGCTCTGTGATAAAATATACATTTTTTTTTTCTCTGTAGCTTTGGAGCCTGTCTGTCCTGGAAATTAGCTCTTGTTTCCAGGCTGGCCTTGAACAGAGATCCGCCTGCCTCTGCCTCCCGGATGCAGGGATTAAAGGGATGCATGCACCACCATAGCCCAGTTTAGAATTTTTTTTTATTGCACTGAATGCAGAGACTCTTGCTGTCCCAAATGCAGAAAATAAGTAAGATATGTGTTCCCAGCCCTGAAAAGTCAGCTACACCATCCCTTTTATGGCTCTCAGAACATTGAAGAAGAGGAGGAGCAAAGGGAGTAAGACGGTAAAGAGGAAGAAGGGCTAAAATATGCCATTCTCAAGACAACATACAGCTGTTGTAATCACTAAGCAACAGCAACTGTACTTACCTGTACTGACCTCACACTAACCACAGTCAGTCTAGGAAAGGGAAAGGCTTACGTCTCAAATGTTGGCCATGGATGGATTGGAGGAAAAGAATCACTCACTGTCTTTAGGTGTAGACCTCTGCTGAATCCTCCAGGCGCCAACACGTAGGTTCAAACCCACAGACTCACATATGGCCGTGGTTAATCTCAGTGTGCCCCAAGAAAAATAAATGGAGATGAACAATTCGTTGGAAATGTAGACTAGAATAGTAGAGAGGTAGGAATGTGTGTGTGTGTGTGTGTGTGAGGTGCGGGGGGGGAGGAGAACCAATTATAGAAATGTTTATATTAGTGCAACAGTCTGTAATTTATTTTTGGATATATCAGTACCTGGTTTATTATCAGGTAATACTAAGAGACAGGAAGTCTTCCTTTTTTATTTCACGTATTTATGTAGTTTTGCTGTTCTTCTTTGAAGTTCTAATAGAATCCTGTCAGTCTGGTCGTGGTGTTGTTTGTGGGCTATTTTATTAGTGCTTCAGTCTCATTGCTACTTGTGTTTACATATTTATTTCATGTTATTTAAATTTCATAGGTTATGTGGATCTGGAAACATATATTTCAATTACAGTTTCCAATTCAGTGGGATAGACATCTTTAATAACAATAGAAATAATATCCATATGTCTACTTGTGCTTATCAAGTAGGCTGTCATGATATGTTAATAAAAAGTTATGTGTACTTTACAAGATTATGCAATGTAGGAGGAGGACACGCTTGTTTGTCCTAGCTGCCCAGAACTGAAATAACCACACAGAAATTGTATTAATTAAATCACGGCTTGGCCCATTAGCTCTAACTTCTTATTGGATAACTCTTAAATCTTAATTTAACCCATTTCTATTAATCTGTGTATCACTATGAGGTTGTGGCCTACCAGCAAAGTTCCAGCATGTCTGACTCTGGCGGTGGCTCCATAGCATCTCTCTGACTCTGCCTTCTTTCTCCCAGCATGCCATTTAGTCCCCCCCCCAGCTCTGTTTCCCCAAAGCTCTGATATAGGCCCAAAGCAGTTCCTTTATTAACCAATGAAAACAACACATAGACAGAAGGACTTCCTACACCAATATAAGACTTTAATCCCTGCACAGAGGAGAGGGGCAAAGGAAATTATGAGGTCACAACCAACCTGGTCTATATAGTGATTCTAAGACAACAGGTAATAAAAAGTGAATCCTTGACCCAAACAAAGAAAACTCTTCCCTGAAGAATAGCTTTCATGGTACCAGAAGCACCATTCAAGAATCCAAAAATGGAAGTCAATGAATAGTCTTATCCAGCTAGGATGCCTATGAACCACATCAATGATCATCATGGTACAAAAACCCTGAGTGTAGTAGTGGCAAGCATACCTTTGAGGTAACCAACAGCTCTCGAGGTGGACTTAAGAAATTCTTAACAAAAAAGAAACTGTGACAGTTACTGGAAACCCGGCTAACTACGCAGTGCTGGTGAAGTCATGAATCTTGGAGGAGAACCAACAACCACTACTTTACTAACCACCATAATCTCTAACAAAAATGGAAACATTTTACTTATACTCACAGATAAGGGTGGTCTTCACCTGTCATCAAGGAAATTTCCCTTTGCAAAAGAGAAAGAGAGTACTACAAATAAATCACAGCTAACCAAAATGCAGAGCTGTGGATGCGAGGCCCAATGGATACATATAGAAAACACTCCTGAATATAAGGTCCAAGGGAGATTTTTGAAGAAACAGGGAGGTATAAAGGTTGTAAGAGCCAGAGAATCAGGGACTTTGCCATAAGACTGTGTTTCCTTGTATATTAGTCAGTATATACAAGTACTAGAGCAACAGAGCTCTCTCTCTCATCTATCTATCTATCTATCTATCTATCTATCTATCTATCTATCTATCTATCATCTACCTATCTATCTATCTTTCTATCTACATATTAGATGTGTGTATGTGTGTGTGTGACATATATGAATGGCTTACAGCCTGCTATCCAGCTATTCCACCAATATGAACAGAAAGCCCAAGAACCTACTAATCAGTTCACAAGGCTGAATGCCACAGCTGGTCTTCAGTATATGCTGGAATAACAAAGAGGTAGTAAACTCCAATGCCAGTGAAGGAATAAATGTTCTAAAAAGGCTAGGGCAAGGAGACAAGGAGCAAAAGCACCATTCTTTTATGTCATTATATAGACTTCCAGGAAAAAGTGTTTTCCAGATTAATGTTGTATCTTCCAGCCACATGTTCCTTTCCCAAGATGTGTGTGTGTTTCTGCTTCAAGATATTGTGAGCCTATTTCCACCTTGTCTTAAAGTCAGAGAGTTTGGAGGCTTCTCAAAATGGTTGACAAGTGTAGCTACATGTCCTGACACAGGATGTGGTTACTTGGTTCTCTTGACATTAAGATGGCTCATATAAGTAGATCCATTCCATCTTGATAGATGGTCAAGATACACAAGCATACTTCTGCTCTTTCTTTTATAATAGGAAGTTACCTGGGGAGTGGCTGCCTTCAGAATTCTTGATCTAGTGTGGCTTCACTGCCTAAACGACAGAATGCTGATGACTTGATGCCTCAAAGTGTTAAAGCAATTAACTGTTTGAGTTGTCCTTTGTATCATTTTTTTTTCAAGACAGGGTTTCTCTGTGGCTTTGGAGCCTGTCCTGGCACTAGCTCTGTAGACCAGGCTGGTTTCGAACTCACAGAGATCTGCCTGCCTCTGCCTCCCAAGTGCTGGGATTAAAGGCATGCACCACCAAAGAAGTCTTTTGTTGCCTTCTTCTCCCCCTTGTATTGGGGTATAAAAGCATATGGAAAATTAAATGCAAACTGTTTCAGTTTTCATTGAAATGCCCTGCTGGTACTATTATATGGTTTCTATATTATTTTTTTCACATCTTCATATTCTTTACTTATATTTCTAAATCTCTATGCCCCTACCCTAGCAAGAGGTGGTTTTGACCAGTCCCTGACATATGGCACCACAATGAGAATAAACCCCTGGAATGCACAAAAGTGTGACCAGGTGTACAAGTGAGTACGTGAGGGACTTCCCAAGAAAATTGCACCACAGGTGGAGAGGCATGTTGAAGGAGCTGTGGACCTCTTCCCACAGCCCGGCTCCTGGCTGCTTGGCTAGCTTATACCCCGAAATAACAACACACAAATTTTAAACACTGCCTGGCCCATTAGTTTCAGCCTCTTAACCCATTTCTAATAATCTATGTAGCACCACGAGGTGCGCTTACCAGGAAAGATTCAGCATGTCCGACCTGGTTGCTGGCTGCATCGCATCTGTCCTGGAGAGAGCTGCATGGCATCTGAGCTCACTTCCTCTTCCTCCCAGCATTCTGTTCTGTTTACTCCACCTATCTAAATTTTAACCTATCAGGGCCAAGGCAGTTTCTTTATTTAACCAATGACCTT